GTGTGTGTGTGTGTGTGTGTGTGTGTGTGTGTGTGTGTATGTGTGTGTGTGTAGTACCCCTCCTCCACCCAAGCCTTGACCCTTAGTCCTTTCAACCCCCGACCCCAGTTTCCTCAGGAGACACACAAGTTCAACCACCGGTCCCTCAGACGGGGCTGGGGACTTTGTGCACAAATCTGCAGGGCGGGGGGGGGTGTTGGAGAGAGGGGTTTCTCAGTCTCCTTTTCCAGTCCAGGAAGTCCTTCCTGGTGTCTGGCTGCAAGCCCTCTTGCTGCATCGTGAATCCCAGATGTGCTAGGTCCCCAGCCCCAGGAGCTGATGTGAATTTACCCTCAATCCCCTGTGCTGTGGTCCCACCACACTTCCCTGGTTGGACAAAAGAGGAGGCAGATGGGTGGGCGCCCCACCCATGGCCCCTGCTGTCCCCCAGGCACACCCCTGTCTGGATCCTTCCCTGCAGCCTGCTGCCCCTTAAGCATCTCTAAGCACAGCATGCCTGGCCAGCATCTCCCGTGTGGGTGTTTGCAGTTGGACACCCTCCCTCCCGCCTGCCACCGCCCTCCTCCCCAGGCCTCAGCCAACGGCCAGCCCCCTCCCCGCCCCCCCTCCTGTCCCCTGCTGCCTCCTCAGCAGCCTCTCTTCCTCCTGGCAAAGCGTCCAGCCCCTGCCTGCTCCTCCCCGGGTCCGGGTCCTGGGCGCCTCTGCAGGCGAGTCCCTCCCTCCTTCTCTCCCTCCCTCCCAACAGTGGCCACCACCTCCTCCCCTCTCTCCTGCTCCTGTCCCCTTTCACCCCATCCCTGCCCCGACTCTGCAAACATGAGGGTCTTGGCCTGCCTCCTCGGTGAGTGACCCCTTCTCCTCCGGGACTCAGGGGCCTAGGCCCCACCCTCTGACCCCTGAGCTCATCCACTTGAGAGACTCAGACTTTTGGGGCCCTGTCCCTGTCGCGTGGGGAATACGGGACATCTGGCCCTCCTTGCCTGATTCCCCAGGGACCCAGCCTCTGGCATACCCCATCCTACCCTTTTAAGAGTCCTAGGGACCTACCTGCCCCCACCAGCAGCCCTGACCCTGTTGGGGGCCACCCCCCATTTGCCCTTTAGCCAGGCCCCTGGGGGAGCGCACAGCCCTGACCTGTGGCATCTGGAGCCCCGCCCATCTCCAGGACCTGAACCTGGCCATGCCTTCGGCCCAGAGTTCTGCTTCCCAGGGGCGGGGTTTCTGGTGCAGAGGCGTGAGGCCCTCACTTTGTCCCACTCCTCCAACCTCCCTTCCAGTGGCTCTGATGGGGATCCAGGCTGTTGGTAAGTGGCCCCAAACAATTCTGTCTGGCCTTGCTCAGCTCCAAGCCCACCCCATGCCCAGCCTCACCCTCCACTGGGACCCTGGCTCCCCATCCACCTATGACCTCGGGCACCACATCCCCCAGAACCACCTGGGTGTCCAGCCTCCTGCTTCCTATGAGGCATCACCGCTCTTCCGGGCACCCAGGAGTTGGGCTCCCAGTCATGCCCTGCAGGACAGCCCCCAGCCCCTGCTTACCCCCTGCTCCAGGGTCTCTAGGATGTCACAGCCTTTCCTCTGTTCCCACAGAGCGGCTGCGTCTGGCCGATGGCCCCCATGGGTGCGCTGGTCGCCTGGAGGTGTGGCACACTGGGCGCTGGGGGACCGTGTGTGACGACGGCTGGGACCTGCGGGATGCTGCCGTGGCCTGCCGGGAACTGGGCTGTGGTGGGGCGCTGGCCGCCCCTGGAGGCGCCTTCTTTGGGGAGGGCGTGGGGCCTGTGTGGCTGAGCGAGCTGGCTTGCCGGGGCAGTGAGCGGCAGCTGGGCCTCTGCCCCCACCGCGGCTGGAAGGCCCACATCTGCTCCCACGAGGAGGACGCCGGCGTCGTCTGTGCAGGTAAGGGACCCTTGACCCCCTCTGGGGGTGCTTCTTCTGAGATGGCACAGGGACCCAAGTCCTCAGCTCAGTAACTCTGAGAATCCAGAAGTCCATACCCCCTGACACCACCTACAAAGCCAGGACTTACCACTGCCCTGGAGAGCCCAGCCCACACCTCACTCAGGGCCTTCCCTCTCCATAGCATCTGGGAGTTGGACTGTGGAGATGTTGAATAAAATTCTCCAAACAGAGAAGGAACTTTGAGACCAAAAAACAAAGCAGGCAATTAGGAAGTTTATTCTGGGGAACTCACAGGCAGGAAAGATCAAGAGGATGGCAGACTGGAGGCCTTAATTTGCAGCCAGGCTTCACTCCACCCAAAGAGTTGCAGGGAGATTTAAAGAGGCCACAGCTAGAGGTAGATCTGACTACCAAGGGAGAAGCATGTCTGCACGGTTGGGAACTGAAGGTTTTCCTCCCTCCGGGGGTCTTATGACCATTATTCCTCATGAGTGGTTAACCCTGCATCAGCAAAAGGCATTCTTCCTGTTTTCACATCGAAGGAAGGGAAGGGTAAGAGTTGATAGGGAACCTATCTGGCTTGGACACGTTCCTCGTGGTAGGCTAAAACTCAGCCATGCAGAGAGGGGTGGGGTAGGACCATGGGCCTGAAAAAATGGATCAGTGTGATGTCTCCTGAAGGTCAGCGTGTGGCCGACTCCAGGGACCAGGACAACACACCTTCCATCCTGGATGGGGACCCCTGGCCTGGGCTGTCTGGGGAGCTGAGCCCTGGCTCTGAGGAGCCCCCCATGACGCATGGTGAGCCAACCCCGCCCGTTCCCTCTCTCCTGCTGCAGCTGGGAGGGAGAAGGGGCAGACAGAGGCCCATCTCCAACACACTCCTAAGAGCCTCTGCCATGGCCCCCTTCAGACCTTTGTGGACTCTCAGGGCTGACCTGCAGCTCCAGGAGGTGCAGCCCCTGATCTCCCTCTCTGCTGTTTCCTCGCCAAGCCCCCCGCCCAGCCGGGACCCCCCAGAACAGCTCCCGGAAGAAGAGCCCCCGGCCGCCCAAGCAGGCCAAGTCCACTAGGGCTCCTTTGCTGACTGCTGGAGCCCCCCGCCAGGGTAAGTGCCCGCAGGCATCCCGCCTGCAAATCTGGGTCGGGGAGGCCCGAGGTCCCATGGGACCAAACTGGGGAACTGCCCCCTGGGTGCTCTCCTCTTAACCTGTGGCCCCAGCAGGGCTCCAGCATGCACCACATTCCCAAGGATTCAGTCTGGTCCAGGCTCCGCATCATGTCCCTGCACCTTGCCTGGTCAGGAGACCCAGTATCCATGGCTGCTGGCGGCCGATCTTAGGCCTCTGCCCACTCCGGGGCTCAATTTCCCCAGATTGAGAACAAGGTTCCTGTAATCTGCATGGCCTCAGCTGTCTCACACGAGTCCCCTCACCGTCCCCCTCTCTCCCTGCTGTCCCCCCAGAGCGGCTGCGCCTGGTCTCCGGCCCCCATGGGTGCTCGGGCCGCCTGGAGGTGTGGCACGGCGGACGCTGGGGGACTGTGTGTGACGACGGCTGGGACCTGCGGGACGCCGCTGTGGCCTGCCGGGAACTGGGCTGCGGGGGTGCTCTAGCTGCCCCCGGAGGGGCCCGATTTGGCCCGGGCTCAGGGCCCGTGTGGATGGACGACGTGGGGTGCGGAGGCGGAGAGCAGGCCTTGCGGGACTGTCCCCGAAGCCCCTGGGGCCGGAGCAACTGTGACCACACAGAGGATGCAGGGCTGGTCTGTACCGGTATGTCTGTCCCCCGCCTCCCCAGACCCCCTCCCGGAAGGGCCAAGCCCCACTCCCCACTCTCTGACATCACAACACCTGCTTTAAGGAGATCTCCAACTCCCTTCCCTCCTTCTCTCCCTCCCCTCCTCCCTTCTTCCCTCCCTTCCACACCTATTCATTAAGCACCAGCCCCTGCCGGGGACAGACACAGCACACACCTGAGGCCCTGTCCTGCTCTCATGATTTTCTGTTCGGGTGCTGTAGGACACAGCCCGCACAGGGCAGGGATGGCCCACAGGTGTGGGTTGGGATATTTCAGGGACTGCAGGCTGACAGGAGATGCACCCCCAGTCAGGGGTGCAGGAGATGCCTAAGTCAGTGGACAGGAGTGGAGAGAGGGTGAGGATTTCCACCTGAGACCTTGCGCCATGCTAAGTGGCAGCCGGGAGCCGGCTCTAAGCCTCACCCCTGCTTGGACGGGCTCGCCTCACCTTCCCAGATGCAGACTGAGATGTAAAGCAAATGGCCTAGAACTTGACCTGCCGGGTCTGTCCCGCAGCACAGATGGATCTGGGTACCTGGTATGCAGGGAGTGGGGGGACAGAGACCAGGGGCACACAGGTTGGGGCTCAGATCGGTGGACTGGAGGCAGTAAGGGTGACCCCTCCACGTGCTATTATATTGTGGAAAGCTTGTGAGGACGGAAGTGGCATCTCTGAAGCCCAGTTTCTGGGAGGTGAGTGGAGGCTCCAGAGGAGGTCAAGTTGTTGGGGAGAAGAAGTGAACCCCATTGAGGGAAACGGGATGGTAAGGAACTGTGGGTTTCTTACCATCTTTGCTCCTTAGGGCAGCCCAGAGAAGGAGCTCCCTCTTAAAGCGGGGAGATTCAGACCAGAAGTATCTCAGCCTTTCTGGTCTGTCCTCTTCTCTAAAACACCAATGGGGGTGATTTTGCACCCCCCCCAGATTGGGGGCTAGAGAGATGGACTCCACACTCCCCAAAGGTGACCCAGCTCTTGCCCTAAAAGGACCCAATGGAATTGTACTCCCAGACCACCTAGAGTTTGGTATCTAGACTAGTGGTTCTCAACCTCGGGGCGATTCCCCACCCTACTCCCCAGGGGACATCGGCAATGTTTGGGGACATTTCTGGTCATCACAACTGTTGGGGGAGTGGGGGTGCTTCTGGGGCCCAGGGACACTGCTGGACATCCCACTGCATACAGGACGGCCCCCACAGCAGAGAATGATCTGACCCCCGATGCCAGTGGTGCTGAGGCTCAGAAGCCCTGCTTTACTGGCCTGGGGAAGGCAGCTGGGGAGTGGGGAGCCACCTGGGGAGGTAGGGGGGCGGGTCAAGACCGGTGTTGTCCCTGGGGAGGCAGGGACGATGTCAGGAAGTAGGGGGTGTAGACAGACCCTAGTTGGACTCTAGGTGAATGACTAACCATCCCGGAGCCTTTTTTGTCCTTTGCAAACT